GATTTTCTTTGACTCCTTTCAGCCTGAGCAATAGCAAGTCAACAATTGAGTGCTACAGCATAAGATCGTGGAGGCTGAGGAAATCCTACAACTCCAGGTGAAGGAACAGATGGTCTAACTGAAATCGGAGCCTTGGAATCAATAGGAGAGGGCCGCATGTGGTGGCCACGTATCGGAGGGCGGCGTCAGGTAAAATGACGGACCTCTTCTGCAAATTTTGAGTCTGCTGATTCCGAATCTGATGTTTGTTTGCCAAAGTTGTATGATCAGTTTTGAGGAGGACCGGTGGGGGAGGTTTAAAATTAGAAGTGAGTTTCCCCATGTTATTGATCGATGGTTGAGCCATTATATGGGCATTTGAAGGTGCAGAAACTAGTGGAGGTATCGTCATTCAATGGGTGTCACTCAAACCACCGAAATTTAGATTTGAAGGGAGCTCAACTCCTGCAGGTTGGAGAGAACAATTAGAGATCATTTGGCATTATGCATGTTGGTCCAATTGACCATCATCAATTGAAGCCTGAAAATGCATCTCGCTTGCCTTGATCAAATTCGATTTCAATCTATCAATTGGATTGTTAATTGGATCATTGGTGTTTGACCCATTAAATTACCATCATGAATTAATGTTGTGAATGCAAAATTGAGCGTTTGCAACAAAAAAACTTCATCAATTTTATTTGGGTCGAACTTAACGCATAACTCAGAGAGGCCTCCCATAAATTCTGTCGTTTCTGAGCAAGATTGACAATGACCTAAGGTAGGGCTAGATGGGCCTAGTTGAGGAGAGTGTTGTGGTGATGGTCCACGATCAAGAAAGTAGCCGAAAGTAGAGTTATTTGGATAAAAATCGTCACTGCGTGCGCCGTATTGGGTGGAGATTTAGTCATTTTTCATTAGATTTACGGGCCATTGGCGTGCGGAGGTTGTAGAGGGAGATGATGTGGTTCCAATGTTGGTGATGTCCAACGGCTTTGGTGGCGGTTGGTGGTCGTTTTTTGAGGTGGAAGGTGGCAGCTCGAGAAATTTTTTGCCCATATTAGTTGCAATTAGGGGTGGGCATAGACTGGGTTGGGTTGGGTCGATTTTTGCCTCAACTCAAACACAATCCAACATAATCGGTTTGATCAAAATTTAACTCAACTCAACCTATGTAAAAGTTGAAACTCGACCCAACCCAACCCAACCCAATCCAATCAAGTATCGATCGGATTGGATTGGTCGATTTTGGACAACCGTCAACAAAGATTAAAGTCGTCCACATTTCTATGATACTAAATTCGAATAGACAAGATTAAATAGTAAATAAATAAATAAAATGATCTATTATTTTATTCAATCATCGTTGAACCTACAAAGAACAAAGTGCATTTTTTTAAAGTAAGCGGATCGGGTTGGGCGGATTTATTCGATTTTCATGGGCTAACCCATAACATGACACAACCAAAAAAAAAAAATCAACCCAAACCGATCGAGTTGGTTCGATTTGGACGATTTTTAAAGATTCGATCGGGTTTTGCCCCACTCCTAGTTACAGTCACTCTCAGATAATGTAACTACTTATTTTTATACATCCTACTAAAGGTGTCAATCCGGGTGGTTCGGGCCGGGTCGGCCCGCCAACATATGAGCCGGTAATAACCCGCATGAAACAAAGCCTGCCCGCTACGGGTTCAGAGTTGGTTCCGGGTTGGCCCACAAATTTTGGACTACAACCTAGGCCCACCCGCTGACCCATCCGGGTCGAGCCCATACGAGTCACGGGTCGCGATTTGTTCCGATTTGACCGGTATTATTGTATTATAAAAATATAGATTTTTTCATATATATAGTAAAAAAATATTTTTTTTAT